ACGTTAGCGGATCACCAATAAAAAAAAGATGATTCAGTACAATAACAATAGGTGATCCGCTAGTGTAGCAGATCACCAAAAAAATGAAGATGATGATGATGATCCTGACAATAACAAGAGGTGATCCGCTAGTGTAGCGGATCACCAAAAAACGAGCAAATTTGAATTCCCACAATCAAAATCCATCCACCCATAAGGGACAGATATAGAGAAAGAATTTTCGGATTAGAAATGGTGGAGACAACAGACATTAAAAAAAATAGGTTGTTTTAGAGTTAGCCTACAGTGACGTCATGCTCCCTTCTTTCTGGTCTTTCTTCTCTCTTTCTTCTTTATTTTTGGGGGTTGGGATTGACCCGTGTCCCTGAAATGATTGATTGAATGATTGATCATACTTAATTATATTGGCAAAGCTACGAAAATGCATGTGCATATATCCTATGCTCCATCTGACCTGCTCTTTTTTTTTCTGATGCATTTAAATGTGTATTTCTTTTCTTCAATTCATGTTTTGTGGATTTTTTTTTATTTTTTTTTTCTAATAGTGCTTTTTACGCCAAATGGAACTTTTTTATTTGGACAATAAAGTTTATCTTATCTTATCTTATCAACTCCTGTCTCTTATACACATCTCAATCATTTTTGCTCACATCACTATGTTGACTCAAATCTTGAATAATATAGCCATACGACCGAAGAGAAATCAAAATTATAACAAATTTGAAAGCAATGAACCAAGGTTTTAATGAATAGGTTTTAGACATGTTTCAACTGTATCTCACAGTCATCTTCAGTAAACTAAAGGTATGGAATTCCACACTATCACCAATATTTCATCATTTATTCCAACTAAACAACAATTGGATGTCTTAAAAAATGGACTTGACTTTTCACTACCCTCCAACAAGGTTAGTAAAACAGATTATTTACTTGCTTTGAATCCATCAACTACAGAATGGCTCAACACCTCAAAAATAATAACCAAGCAACGGAATTGAGGGCGCACTTATCAGGTTTGGCCCACACATATGCCAATGCATATAAACCATCGCAAAAGGATTTAAAAAGAATAAAATCATTAACTGAACTTCGAAACAATAAGGATATTATTATCACAAAACCGGATAAAGGTAATAGAACAGTTATAATGGACAGGTCAATGTATAATAAGTGTATACATAAAATTATTAATGATGACAGAAAATTTGCCTAAAGGGATAACGATCCTACAATTAAACGTGAAACCAGTCTTCAACGACTCCTCAGATCCTTGAAAAAATCTGGGGAAATTGATCAAGACATTTTTTCCAACATTTATCCAAAGTGCTCTCGTCCGGCAAGGATCTATGGACTACCAAAGATGCATAAAACATTCACAGAAGGAGTACCAAATATGAGACCAATAATTTCATCCATCGGGACCTACAACTACAGACTTGCCAAATACTTAAACCAACTAATCCGACCTTACATTCCCTAAGAACACACTGTTCGTGACACATTCACCTTTGTCAATACCATAAAAAACTGGAAACTACATCAAAAAAACATGGTGTCCTTTGATGTTGAAAGCCTTTTTACAAACATCCCACTGCAAGAATCAATTATTGACTTAGCTGTGGAATACATCATCAAAAATAACAAAAACTGTAAAATCACAGAAAACAATTTGAAGAGACTTTGTTAAAACTTTCTACATCTGAAAATCACTTCCTATACAATGGAGAAATTTTTCAACAAATAGATGGAGTTAACATGGGCTCGCCACTTGCACCAATCTTAGCCAATTTGTTTTTGGGACATAACAAACAAATTTGTCTGAACCAAAGTGATTGCCTAATATTGTTTTTTACACCAGATATGTTGATGACACTTTTTGTATTTTTGATAATGAATAAGACGCCATGCATTTCTTTGATTTTTTAAATACGAGACATAAGAACATAAGATTTACAATGGAAAAGGAGAATGACAACTATATCAGCTTTCTTGACGTGCTAATTCAGAAACTTGAAAATGGAGACATTAAAACATCAACATACAGGAAACAAACATTTACTGGTCAGATGATGGGATATTTTAGTTTTTGCGCAGAAAGTTATAAACTAAGACTAATTAATACTTTGTTGGACAGAATATATAAAATCAACAACACATGAAATGGAATACACAAGGACTTTAACAGCTTTAAAAACATTTTACTTAGGAATTATTACCCTGCAAAACTAATAGACAGGTTAATCAAACAATTTGTAGACAGAAAAAACAAAAATGTGGTTACAGATGAATCGTCATCCTTAAACGAAGTGTGTTATTTTAAACTTCCTTTTATTGGTCACACATCTAGAATAACTAAGGAAAAACTAACACAACTAACAAATAAATATTGTAATGGTTTAAAAATCAATCTAGCATTCAGCACCAGCAAAGTAGGAAGTTTTTTCAACAATAAAGATACTATACCAGATGCTCTTAGATCCAATGTGGTATATAAATTCAGTTGTGGGGGCTGTAATGCCACCTACATTGGTGAAACGTCTCGCCACTTATCTATAAGGATCACCTGATATCTGATAAAAACTCACATATATACAAACACTTAGCAAAAAATCATAAATGTAAATCAAATAGTAATAATGCTAATTTCATAATAATTGATCAGGCCAATAATGGATATCAACTAAAACTCAAAGAGGCCCTGCACATTAAATGGGAGAATCCATCATTGAACAAGCAGGTACAACACTACAACGCTTTTGGCCAACTTCGGTCACCGACAACTTCGGTCACCGACACCTTTGGCTGCGCACTGTCGAACACCAAAATGTATGGAGCGCCCTTTGAGTGCTTTGCCGATTGGAAGTTGAATGCGCGCTATTGTTTGTCACGCTGATATACAGTGGTTGAATGAGCGCTATTATATCTATTCAATTCTTAACTTCAAATTCAGAAACACTCAAGCTTACATTGTTACAGATAGGCCTATACACACAGAACATGTCGCAACAATTAATATTAATAGTGTGTTAAAATTTAAGTGATAAAATTATATAATTTGTGAAAAAATCATAACGAATTAAACATGGCAAACTTTGCGCTGCCACTTACACCATGGTTAACACAAGCAACATATTTGCAAGATTTTTAAACATTTTGACGATAATAATTGTTAAAGGTAAACATCATTGCTTGTTATCGATTATAGATCTCATTTTTTACATGTGCACTTATTTACTATTCAGTAATGTAAATATAAAAACCTGAATTTTAAATTACCAATAAATTAAATATTTGATTGAGTAAATTAATTGATTGGCTTTAATGATATAAAGTGTAGGTACATTAAGGGCATGAGAATAGAGAGATATTCCTACAGAATTTTTATTGACTAATGATTGACAAATATACTCTAGATTTCTTTTTCCAACTCTTGTAAATAACACACTTTCATCACCCTCGCTAATGTGTTATTTTACATCCGATCTTGTATGAAAAGATATCATGAACAGACAACAGACATAAAAATAAAATTATTTAAAAAAATGTTTTATTTTGTGGATAAAGGACGAAATTTGTGCATGTGTATCATTCTAAATTTTATTTGACAAAATTCTATTTTGATGAAATATGAATAAAAATACAGTAAAAAATGCTTTTTGTAGTCTATTAATAAACAAAATACTGGAGCTTATACTTATACTGGAAATATGAATTACTGTACAATGAATAGGCCTACAGTTT